CTCTGTCATTCTCAGATTCTTCCGAGCGATTATCAGAACAATTATCCAGTTTCAACATTTTCGCCTTTTTCTCAGTTTCCTCTGTTTCTGACTCATACGACCTCTTTCTCAATGCAAAATTTTCCACGCTTGGCGGTGGAATAAACTCGATTTCGTAGGCATGCTTGCCGTAGAGCAGCTCTAATCGGTCATCGTGTTTGGCCACAAATCTCACACCCTTCTGAGTTTTAAAGCCATTAAAACCACAAGCGTGTGGACCAATTTGTTGAACTGTGACGATAGCCTCCACATAGTTTGCACATAGACGAACTGTTGAAGATAGATTAAAGTATTTATTTGTATCAATAACTTGCAAATAACCCTCAAATATAAGAATATCTTGTTGTAAATTAAATAATTAAAGTAAATTGTATAAATAATTTTCAAATTTCTTCAAATCTTTTACTCCAACATTTTTCCACTGTCATTTAGATCTTAATGCTTTCTCTTTAGGAGCCTATCATTTAAAAAAGTACTTATTTAAATCCTTTTATAAGACTAATTAAGACAAGGTTTCAAGCAAAACTATTCGCCATACTGTCAAAAATTAATTATTCTCTATTAATATAATTCTATCATCATTTTGATTATTATTATATTCTGGCTAGGACTCCGTTTCTAATTTTTCTTCAATTTCTAATGTTCATTCTTGATCATATTCTAAACAATTATTTAGAATTATTATGTATGTACGTCGAATACATTGAATACATTGAGTACATTGAATATGAGTACATTGAGTACATCAAAAAGTAAAACTTAACCTCAACATATTGGATTTGTCAGAATCCTTTAAAAAATCACATTATTCAATATTCTTATTCACATTTTGTCATTGTAATTGTCTTTTGCATAAACGAAGATGAAAGTTCAAGCGTTATGTGCAAACTCTTATCTTTGGTTTGTAAATAACGACGCGAGGGAAATAAACTGGTATTTTGCGGGGAATACGCGACCTTGTTGCCGCGAGCATTTCGCATCTGTGATGCCAGTTTCCGGCGAGCGTCCTACGTAAATCGGAGTATTGTCCGGTAGATAAACATTCGGAGTCTCCTCCAGGTGCTCCAGGCTACGTAAGTAACAACTCTTGACAGGCGCGCTCATTGCGAGAGCAATGAAGTGCAGAGCAATGCAGAATCGAATTCTTCTCGCGCTTGCGGCGCTTGATAAGAATAATCGAGTGTGATTGGTCTATTTTCTTAC